AGTCCCTACCTCCCCTACCTCAGGGGCCTGCCCCTACCTGCGTCCCCTGCGTCGAGGGGCGACAGCGCGCCGCTCCTCACTCCTCCGAGTTTCCTCCGACAGAGGCTCCACTGCAGACTCTTCACATGGACGTGTGGGGCCCCGCCCGCGTCCGTGGCCAGGGTCACGAGCGTTACTTCCTGTTGGTGGTTGACGACTACTCGCGTTACACCACGGTGTTCCCCTTGCGCGGCAAGGGTGACGTCACTGAGGTGTTGATCGACTGGATCCGCGCAGCTCGTCTCCAGCTCAGAGAGAGTTTCGGCTCGGACTTTCCTGTTCTGCGTCTGCACTCTGACAGAGGCGGGGAGTTTTCCTCTGCCCGTCTGGGAGCCTTCTGTCGTGCACAGGGCATCCGCCAGACCTTCACGCTTCCGGCCTCTCCACAGCAAAATGGGATTGCTGAGCGCCGCATTGGCATGGTCATGGACGTCGCTCGTACGTCCATGATCCATGCGGCTGCCCCCCATTTTCTGTGGCCGTTTGCGGTTCAGTACGCAGCGCATCAGCTCAACCTTCAGCCCCGGGTCTCCTTGCGAGAGACCTCCCCCACCTTGCGGTGGACCGGGAAGGTTGGCGATGCGTCTGCGTTTCGGGTCTGGGGATCTCGGGCGTTTGTCCGCGACTTGTCTGCGGACAAGCTGTCCCCCCGTGCTGTTCCCTGCGTCTTCCTTGGCTTCCCCCCTGACGCACCTGGGTGGCAGTTTACCACCCCACCTCGCGCCGTGTTCTGTCCTCCCAGGACGTCACCTTTGACGAGTCGGTGCCTTACTACCGTCTCTTCCCCTACCGCACTGCGCCCCTCCCCCCGCCGCCGCTCTTCCTTGCGCCAGGTCCTCCCCCGGTAGACCCCCTCCCCCCTCAGGGTCCTGCCCCGTCAGGTGTGTCCCAGGTAGACGCAGTCGAGCCTGTCAAGGTAGCTGTTGACTCTGGTACTGCTAGAGGTGCTGAGCCTGCGGGTGCCGGGTCTGGGGGTGCTGAGTCCAGGGGTGCGGAGCCTGGGGGTGCTGAGCCTGGGGGTGCTGAGTCTGGGGGTGCTGAGCCTGGGGGTGCGGAGCCTGGGGGTGCTGAGCCTGGGGGTGCGGAGCCTGGGGGTGCTCGGTCTGCTCGTGTGGCCTCTCGCGGTGCTTCGTCGAGGCGGGAGCTACTCTCTCCGCAGGAGCTGCGCGAGTGGTTTGCCCGGCGCTGGAGCCGTGCTGCTGGAGCTGGAGGTACTACTGTTGCTGCTGGTCCCGGAGGTGCTCGTACTGGCGGTACTGGAGCTGCTGGGACTACAGGTGCTGCTGGGGCTGCTGGAGTTGGTCCTGCTGGAGGTACTGCTGGAGCTGCTGGCGGTGCTGGAGCTGCTGGTCCTGCTGGAGTTGGTGCTGCTGGGGCTGCTAGAGCTGCTGGAGCTGGAGCTACTGGGGGTGCTGGCGCTGGTGGTTCTGCTGGCGCTGGTGCGTCTGAGGGTGCTGGAGTTGGCGCTGTTGGCGCTGGAGGTGCTGCTGGCGCTGGTGCTGCCGCTGGGGGTACTGGTGCTGTCCCTGCTGGTTCTGGAGGCGCTGCGCGGCCGAGGCCGTACTTCGTTCCGCTCCTTGAGCAGGTTCTTGGTCTCCCGCCCTCTACTGGTCCTGCTCCTCCCTTAGAGTGTCCACAGCCTGTCCAGTCGCAGTCACAGTTACAGCCCGCCTCTCCCCTACCTGCTCCCTCTCCCTACACTGGTCCTACTGGAGGTCTTGCTGAGCGTCGTGAGCCTGCGTCTCGTCCTGCGTCGCCTGTTCGTGCTGCTCGCACTAGTGGTCGTGCTCCGCGTCCGCGTCCTCCTGCGGTCCCAGGCACACACCAGATGGCACTGCGTCCTTCCACTGCTCCTCTGCGTGTCCCGTTGCCGTCTCCTCCAGAGTCCTCTCTTCCTGTTCTTGCTGACCCGGCGTCTGACTCTCTTCGTGCTGCCAGTCCTACTGTCACGCGTCTCCTGACTACTGTTGTCACTGACCCTTCCTTTGAGTCCACTGCTGCGTCGGCCCTAGTTGCTGAGCTTGTCGACTTTGCTGCTCGCTGTCGTCTGGACTACGCTACTAGTCTTGTTGCTGGGTCTGAGTCTGTCTGTCCTCTGTCCGTCGGGGGTGAGTGTGCTCTTAGCACGGACGTCTTTGAGGACAGGCAGGAGGAGTTCCAGTGTTTTGCGGCTGCTTTGCCTCATCTCGTGTCCTCGCTGATTGCCCCTGAGGGAGAACCGGATGCACCAGACATCCCGACTCCTCGATCGTACGCTGAGGCGATCGAGGGTCCCTACTCCTCTCAGTGGCAGTCAGCCATGGACGCAGAGATGGCTTCCTGGAAGTCCACAGGCACCTACGTCGACGAGGTTCCCCCACCTGGGGCGAACATCGTCAGTGGCATGTGGATTTTCAGGGTGAAGCGGCCGCCGGGTTCTCCGCCTGTCTTCAAGGCGCGTTACGTGGCTCGAGGCTTCAGTCAGAGGCAGGGAGTTGACTACTTTCAGACCTTCTCTCCCACCCCGAAGATGACCACTCTTCGGGTGCTGCTACACATAGCCGCTCAGCGCGACTACGAGCTTCACTCTCTTGACTTCAGCACTGCTTTCCTGCAGGGCAGCCTTCACGAGGAGATCTGGCTGCGCCGCCCACCTGGCTTCACTGGGTCGTTTCCTCCTGGTACCCAGTGGAGCCTCCGGCGGCCAGTCTACGGTCTCCGCCAGGCGCCTCGTGAGTGGCACGACACACTGAGGACTACACTTGCGGCTCTTGGGTTTGCTCCTTCTACAGCCGACCCGTCGCTGTTTCTGCGCACCGACACCTCTCTGCCGCCGTTCTACATCCTCGTGTACGTCGACGACTTGGTCTTTGCCACTGCTGACACTGCTGGACTCGCCCACGTGAAGTCCGAGCTGCAGAAGAGACACACGTGCACAGACCTGGGTGAACTGCGCAGCTACCTTGGCTTGCAGATCACCCGGGACAGAGCACAGCGCACCATTACCCTGACTCAGTCACACATGGTGCAGCAGGTCCTTCAGCGCTTCGACTTCACGTACTCCTCGCCTCAGGCCACTCCTCTGTCTACTCGCCACTCGCTCTCAGCTCTGCCTTCGGATGAGTCCGTAGAGCCGAGTGGCCCGTACCCAGAGCTTGTTGGCTGCCTCATGTACCTGATGACCTGCACACGACCTGACCTTGCATACCCTCTTAGCATCTTGGCACGCTATGTTGCTCCTGGGAGACACCGACCAGAGCACATGGCTGCAGCGAAGAGGGTGTTGCGCTACTTGTGCAGTACGTCGGGCATGGGGCTAGTGCTTGGAGGGCGACGTCGAGTGGTCCTCACAGGTCACGCAGACGCTTCTTGGGCTGACGACCAGGCTACGCAGCGGTCGTCACAGGGTTACACCTTCAGCCTTGGCTCCGGTTCTGTTTCGTGGCGGTCTACCCGCTCGTCCTCTGTTCTCGGCTCCAGCATTCTGTACGTAGACAACAAGGCCATGCTGGCCTTGTGTCGGGAGCACAGACTGGAGCACAGAACGAAGCACATTGCTCTTCGCTACTTCCTTGCTCGTGAGCTGCAGCAGCGTGGTCAGCTGCGCCTTGCTTACGTGGCCTCTGAGGCCAACACTGCTGATATCTTTACCAAGGCACTTCCGCCTGGTGATCATTAGCGCTTCTGTACGATGCTAGGTCTTGTGCCTACTTGGCCTCACTTGCTCACTTCTTGACCTTGCTTGTACTGTGATCTTTCTATACCTGCACTTGCCTGTTTACCTTTATATATGATCTTGCATGTGAACTGGCCTTTTGGCCTTGCTCTTGTGCTCGGATTTTGTGGTGACATTGTGATCACCCTGAGCTTGCTTTGCTTTGCTTGACTGGTCTTGTGACCTCTTGTTCTCCCCCACTTTGCCTATGGGGGTGTGTCAAACTTATATGCTATAGTCTGTGTAGGCTGTAGTGGGGTAGACAATATGGGGTACAACACTTCTAGGTTTTCCTACTTGTACCCACCTGTTTCCTAATTCATTCACTCCTCATTCTTAACAAAGGCTAGGAGCGACGGGCCTAGGGAGGGGTACTCGCAGCGTAGCAGGTGGTGGGCCCAAGTAACCTGCTCTGATTCCATGTGAAAATAACGAACGAGAATGGATGAACTAGCAAACAGTTGGGTACAAGTACTAACCCTAATTGGGTTGTACCCCTTATGGGCTACCCCACTATATCCTACACAAATGTAAAGCTATAATGTTCTGACAGTGGTGAGACAACACTGTTTCCGAGGAGTCGTGCGTGCCGCTTTTGAGTCGACTAAAAAGTCACCTCCAAAATTCACTTCCAAAAGTCATCTCATCACATCAAGTCGAGTGTGGTGGCGAGGCGACACTGTTTCCAGTGTGGTGTGGAGTCGTGCGTGTCGTGTCGCTACGCTACCTGTCCTCTCTCCCATACCTCTGCTGGCCATTCGCAGCAACAACAACAAGGGTTCGTGTGGATTGCTATTGCGTGTGTGAATGTGAATCATTTCGCTTCCTTCTACCGTTCGCTCATTTTCCTCTGCGGATTCTCTTTGCCATCATCCCTCAGCAGAAATGTCGAGATATTTGAGTGCAAGGTGTACCGTCCTTACCATGACATGAAAAGAATGGCTTTATTCTTGTTCGCCGTTAATGCCTACCATTGTGCAGATTCTCGTGATCATCCGCGGTAACAGCATTGAGGGCTGAAGTGCATAGTGTTCCACCCCTTAATATTGCATATGTGATTGTTTATATTTCGTTTGCATTCTTTGCCTCTCTTTTTGCAGATTCTCGTGATCATCCGCAGCAACAGCATCGAGGGCCTTATTGTACCGTCGTTTGAAATCGAGTGTATTGGCTACACTGTCTCTGTGGGGTAATGCATCTTTAAGAAGGTCCCCTTTACTACATATGGCGAGCTCTTCCTCCTCCTCCTGCAGTGTAAGCTTTTATTATGCGCTGTAACAAGCAAACATGTTTGTTTTATTCGCACACTCCTTTCACCTGTTCGCTCTCTGGTTCTGCCCCTGCATTCATTCATGGTTAGAGTTAAACCGAGTTGAATTTTGTGTCGACTCAGAAATCAACTCTGGTTCTGTCCCTGCACTCGTCTGCGGTTAGAGTTGACCGCTTTTGTTGTTCGTGCATCTGCAAGGCAAAAAGCAAAATGCTTTATGTTACTTCTCGCTTTCCCTGTCTCCCTCCCTGTCTCTCGCTTTCCCTCCACACCCCCTTCCCCCGATCTCCCCCCTCCGCCAACAACCCCCACTCTTTCCCCCTGTGCAACGCCTATCCTCATGGTCCTCATATGCCAGCATATGCGTAACCACGCTCTTGACTCCTTAGAAGGCAGAAAGTCTTACATTTGACTTTTGAGTCCATTTGACTCGGGGGGACTCAAAAGGACTCAAAGGGACAAAAAAATCACCTCTTGACTCCTTGGAAGGCAGGAAGTCTTACGTTCCTTCTGGTTTCCCACCCTGTCCCTCTCTTTCCCTCCACACCCTCTCTCCCCCACCCCTCCCTCCACCCCTCCCCCCACCCCCCAGCCCCCACGCTTCCCCCCTCCTCTACCCCCCCCACTCTTTTCCCCTGGGCAGCGCTCATCCTCATGTTCCTCATGTTCCTAATCTTCTTGCATCTGCCCAACCATGCTCTGGGTCCCCTTGCTCTCCTACCCCGCCTCTCCTCTCCCCTCCCCCCTGTGCAGCGCTCATCCTCATGTTCCTAATCTACTCGCATCTGCCCAACCAAGCAACCACCACATGGATCAAAGTGGGCATGTGAGTCCCTCTCCCCCCTCTTCGCTCGAGGTGACTATTGAGTTGACTCAAAAGCCACTTTCTTACTCGCATCTGCAGCCACCACGTGGGTCAAAGTGGGCATATGAGTCCCTTCCCCCCTCCCCTTTCCCTCGCGTCTAGCAGTCCATTTTGAGAATTCTCAAAACAGGCAGCCACCACATGGGTCAAAGTGGGCATGTGAGTCCCTTCCCCCCTCCCCTTTTATCACGTGGAACAAAGTGGGCGTGTGTGTCCCTTCCCCCCCCCTCCCTTCACTCGCGTTTGGCCTGAACATGCCCACCACATGGGTCGAAGTGGGATTGTAAATAGCATATGTTAGGTCACAGGTCACAGTTAGGATAAAAGTGGAAATGTATATGTGAGTCCCTCCTCCCCGCCCAGTCGCATCGCATTTGCCCTGCCCATGCCCATGTCCATGCCCATGCCCATGACCATGCCCATGCCCATGTCATGGATGGCATTGGCATGTGTGTGGCAGAGATGGTTATGACCGTTGGCCTGTCAATGCTCACCGCATGGATCAAGATGGGCATAAATGAAGACCCACCTCTCTCTCTTAAGCAACTGAGTTGACTTTTGAGTCGGCTCAAAAGTCAGCATGGATCAAGATGGGTGGGTGTATATGAGGACCAAGCATGTGGATTCAGCAGTATATATGAGGACCCAGCTCTCTCTCTTAAGCAATTGCGCATCCCCTTCCCTCGTCTCAAATCTTCCATGCTGGATGTGCTCTACCAGGGAAGGCAAGGGCACGTCATTCCCCTCCCCCCTCCTCTCTTGTGATTCCTCTCCTCCTCTCTCCCCCTTCCTCTCCTCCTCTCTCCCCCTTCCTCTCCTCCTCTCTCCCCCTTCCTCTCCTCATCTCTCCCCCTTCCTCTCCCCTCTCTCCCCCTTCCTCTCCCTTCTCTCCCCCTTTCTCTCCCCCTCTCTCTCCCTTCATCTCCCCATCTTCCCCCCTTCTTCTCCCCCTTTCCCCCCCTTTCCCCCCCTTCGCCCCTCCACACCCCACAACTGTCTTCCTATTATCCGGCAGGATATACAGTGTAGTGCGCGGATATGAGGCAGTGTATGTGAGCCTGTGTATTTGAGTGGGCCTGCTTGCCCCGCATCTCTCTGACCCCCCCACCCATCCGCCCTTCCCCACGCCTTGCCCTCCCATTGGGTTCGCACCTCTCCCCCCGCCCCGCCCTCCTCTCCCCACCAGCTCCACCAGTGCTTTCTCTTCTCACGGCCCTCCCTACACCCTCGTCTCCTCCCTTCTCCCCCCGTGCCATCATCCCATGCACACCTCTCTCCCCGCCTGCTTCCCCCCACCAGCTGCTCCGCCATGCTACCAATGCTCTTCTTTTCTCAAAGGCAATGAGTGCACACCACGAGACCATCTACCCATCCACCCACCCCTCTCTTCCCCCTTTCATCCCTCCCATTGACACCCTCCCCCCACCCCGCCTGCTTCCCACCGCCCCACCTGCTTCCCCCCACCCCGGCTGCTTCTGTTAGAATATACATATATATTCTTTATAATTGTCTGTAGTGTAGACTGTAGTGTATCTCACTTGCTGTAGGTGGTGTACCATGTGGCTGTCTCCTTGCTATATCTTGTACCTTGCTCAATAATGAAACCCATCTTTCTCAACTTTTTCCTTGCTTCAATTCTCTCGACACTCATGTAAGCTCCCTCAACCCTAGTCATGGGTTCAAGACTAACTAGCTATTTTGACATGCTATCAGAGTGAGTTCCGATTCTGGACCTGCCTTTTTGGGCCCACCCTTCAATCCTAATGCGTCACTCTGCTGCCCGTCGCGTGCCCCAGGCGTGCGTCGATTTTCAGCCCGTCGCGCGCCCCGAGCGTGCGTCGATTTCGTGCCCGTCGTGCGCCCCTCGCGCACGATGGTTTCCTCCTCGTCGCGCGACCTGCTGTCGCCCGCACAGCCCCTACACCGCCCCCCCGCCCCCCACCTTCTCCTCCATCCCCCTGCTGATCGTGCAGCAGGGGGGGGAGGGTATGGGGGTGGCGGGGGTGGCGGACGACGGTTTGCTGCCCGTCGCTCGCCCTGCTGTCGCCCGCGCGGCTCCTACACCCCCCCCCCCCCCCCGGTCCCCCCCCCCTTCTTCTCCATCCCCCTGATGCGCGTGCATCAGTGGGGGGGAGGGTATGGGGGTGGCGGGTGTGGAGCACGACGGTTTCCTGCCCGTCGCGCACCCTGCTGTCGCCCGAGCAGCTCCTACACCGCCCCCCCCTTTCTCCTCCATCCCCCTGCTGCGCATGCAGCAGTGGGGGGGGGGGTATGGGGGTGGCGGGTGTGAGTAGTCAGCCGCCCACCACCTCCTCCTCTCTCTCCCTGCCGCACTTGTTGCTGTGTCGGGAGAGGGGGGGGAGCTTGGAGGTTAAGGGGGTGGCAGGAAGGGATCTGCAGCACCAGCCCCCCCGCCCCCCCCTTCTCCTCCATCCCCCTGCTGCGGGTGCAGCAGTGGGGGGAGGGTATGGGGGTGGCGGGTGTGAGTGAACTGCTGCCGCCTCTCCTCCTCTCTCTCCCACTGCTGCACATGCCGTTGTGGGGGGGGGGGGGTGTGTGGGAGATGAGGGAGTGGCGGTAGGGATGCTGAGGGGTGTGGAAGGGAGGTTTGGGGAAATGGGGGAAGTTGAAGGGGGGTGGACGCCGTGAAGCCAGCAGCTCCAGTCGCACGTGAGACCGTTGTGCCAGTTGCCCGTGAGCCCGTTGCTCCTGTCACCCATGAGTCAGTTGCTCCAGCCGCTCGCTTAGCTGCGGAGCCAGTTACTCCAGTTGCCCGTGAGCAGTTGCTCCATTTGCCAGTGTGCCAGTTGCTCCAGTTGCCCGTGTGCCAGCAGCTTCAGCCACCACCCACCACCTGCTCTCCTCTCATGGTCCCTCCTCCTCTTCACTTGCCCTCTCCTTCCTCCGCTGCGCCTGGTGTACCCCTTTAGGGGGTGTTGTGCACAAGGTTCTTCACTACAGGTAGTTAGGGGGTGTGTTAGAATATACTTAAATACTCTTTATAACTGTCTGTAGTGTAGACTGTAGTGTATCTCACTTGCTGTAGGTGGTGTACCATGTGGCTTTCTCCTTGCTATATCTTGTATCTTACTCAATAGTGAAACCCATCTTTCTCGACTTTCAAAAAAAAAAGGGGGGGGCTTGTTAAGTAGACCACTGGGATAAAAGGGCTTGTTAAGTAGCGGGTCAGTGCGCCCATAACCCCCAAGGACAACGGGCCGGTAACCTTTCCCTAGGATCAATCGGGGATCACCAGTGGACCTCTGACACCCCCCCGCACTGGGATGCCCGAAGTGCACACACTAGGATTTGAACCCGAGACCTTCGCTCTGATACCATGTCAGAATCCCAACCACTAGACCACTGGGATAAAAGGGCTTGTTAAGTAGCGGGTCAATGCGCCCATAACCCCCCAGGACAACGAGCCAGTAACCCTTCCCTAGGATCAATCGGGGATCACTAGTGGACCTCTGACGGCTTCTTCCCATCCCGCCCACTTCTCCCTACCTCGCCCGCTTCTCCCCACCCCGCCCGCTTCTCCCCACCCCGCCCGCTTCTCCCCTCTAGCTACTCCGCCCTGGTACCAGTGCTCTTCTCAGGGGCGATGAGTCTTCAAGACCATCTACCCATCCACCCACCCCTCTCTTCCTCCTTTCGTCCCTCCCATTGACACCCTCCCCCCACCCCTCTTGCTTCTCCCCACCAGCTACTCCGCCATGGTACCAGTGCTCTTCTCAGGGGCAATGAGCGCACAGCTGTACGAGACCATCTACGTAAGCAAGCCTTGAGACTCACTTGAGCACACACTCTCACTTGAGCACTTAAATTCTGACAGAGCATCTTCTCAGGTGCGATGAGCGAACACTTGTACGAGACCATCTACTTAAGCAGGCCTGCTTTTCTTTTCCTCCTTGTTTTATTTCTTCTAGTCAGTCGACCCGAGAATTGTTTGCAGGAACAAGGAATGCGCACCTGTACCGACGTGAATGGGCTGCCTGATTTTCTTGCCTGTTTAACCAACTGGAGAAAAGAGAAAAATAAAGCATGGGCTTTGAACACCGGTACACCTGTGCAAGACCACCTGTGCTGATTTTCGGGCATTTCTCTCGTTCTGTTGAAACAACGAGTCGTGAGACATGTTCCATCGAACAGCAGCATAGGAGGGAGTTTAGCATGTCTCACGATTTTTGGGTATTGCTTTCGTTCTGTTAAAACAACGAGTTGCTACAAGGTGTGCTCTCCAGCTAGCCAGTATGTGTGCGCGGCATGCCTAAAAGAAAAATGTGCAGTGTCAACTTGTCACCAAGCATCAGAAGTTGACAAGTCGATGTTTTGAGGCGACTCAATTTGTCAACTTATAAGTCGACTCAAAACATTGAAACATTATTACATGCACTGTCAACTTGTCAACTCGTTAAACAACATCAACTTCAGAATGTGCACTGTCAACTTGTCAACAAGCAACAGAAGTTGCATGATGGCTTATCGGTCATGCATTTTGACACTCACTACATGCACTTCACTACAACCCTCTTCAATCCACTCCCCTCCACTCCTCTCCACTTCACTCTGCTCCACTCCACTCCACTCCACTCCACTCCACTCCACTCCACTCCAATCGTGACTCCATCAAGCCCCCCTATCACTAATGCCACCTGCATTCCTCCACATTCTCACGCGCTTGTTCAACTCTAAACTGGGTCCCATGGTCCCATCCCATCCCGTCCTTTTATGCATGCAAATCACCCAAACGGCTCTTTCACTTCATCATTGTGTGGTTTGATTCGACTCAGAACAAACCAGGTTTGCATCATATACCAATTCAGCCCCGTTGTCGCATCGCATGCAAAACACCCAAACGGCTTTGTTCCTCGTTGTGTGTTTTGATTCAACTCAGAACAAACCAAACCAGGTTTGCATTCTATACCAATTCAACCCCGTTATGTTATCGCATGCAGAATGCTCAAACGGCTCTTTTCACCATAGGACGAATCCCTCAGATGTGGAGCAACTATGTGGTGAGCATTGTGCATTGGTTTCTGAGTCGTTAAATGTTTTTGTATCCTTTCGCGAATTGGATTCAGTTTTTAAAGTCAACTGACAAAACCGCTATCCTTGGGATCAGGTGTGGAATAGTGGTGAGCATCGAGCATTGAGCATCGAGCATCGAGCATTAAGCATCGAGCATCGAGCATGCCTAGTTGTGCCCACGCCATCCGCAAAAGCTATGCACATTCTATGCGCATTTCTGATGACTGCTTGTTGCTCCCTGTGCTTCATGTGTGCGTCAGCTCTTGCATGCTTGTTCCGTCTCATGCCGTGTCTTGCTGTCTCATGCCGTGTCCTGTTGTCTCATGCTGTGTCCTGCTGTCTCATGCCGTGTCCTGCTGTCTCATGCCGTGTCCTGCTGTCTCATGCTGTGTCCTACTGTCTCATGCCGTGTCCTGCTGTCTCATGCTGCGTCCTGCTGTGTCTTGCTGTGTCCTGCTGTCTCATGCTGTGTCTTGCTGTGTCCTGCTGTCTCATGCTGTGTCATGCTGTGTCTTGCTGTGTCCTGCTGTCTCATGCTGTGTCTTGCTGTGTCCTGCTGTGTCCTGCTGTCACATGCTGTGTCCTGCTGTGTCTTGCTGTGTCTTGCTGTGCCTTGCTGTGTCTTGTTGTGTCTTGCTGTGTCTTGCTGTGTCTTGCTGTGTCCTGCTGTGTCTTGCTGTGTCCTGCTATCACATGTTGTGTCTTGCTGTGTCTTGCTGTATCCTGCAGTCTCATGCTATGTCTTGCTGTGTCCTGCTGCATCTTGCTGTGTCTTGCTGTCACATGCTGTGTCCTGCTGTGTCTTGCTGTGTCCTGCTGTGTCTTGGTGTGTCCTGCTGACTCATGCTGTGTCTTGTTGTGTCCTGCTGTGTCCTGCTATCACATGTTGTGTCCTGCTGTGTCTTGCTGTGCCTTGCTGTGTCCTACTGTATCTTGCTGTGTCTTGCTGCGACTTGCTGTGTCCTGCTGTGTCTTGATGTGTCTTGCTGTGTCCTGCTGGCACATGCTGTGTCTTGTTGTGTCCTGCTGTCTCATGCTGTGTCTTACTGTGTCCTGCTGTGTCTTGCTGTCACATGCTGTGTCCTGCTGTGTCATGCTGTCTCATGCTGTGTCTTGCTGTGTCTTGTTATGCCTTGCTGTGTGCTGCTGTGTCTTGCTGTATCCTGCTGTCATATGCTGTGTCCTGTTGTGTCATGATGTGTCATGCTGTGTCTTGCTGTGTCTTGCTGTGTCCTGCTGTCTCATGCTGTGTCTTTCTGTGTCCTACTGTGTCTTGCTGTGTCCTGCTGTCACATGCTGTGTCTTGCTGTGTCATGCTGTGTCCTGCTGTCGCTTTGCTGTGTCGTCTGATTTTGCTTGCATGCCATGCGAGCGATTTCCCCTGACTGATTTTTTACCAACCCATACTCCACCGGCTATGCCATGTCACACCCCCGTGTCACTTCATGCTC